CTCTCTCTCTCTCTCTCTCTCTCTCTCTCTCTCTCTCTCTCTCTCTCTCTCTCTCACACACACACACACACACACACACACACACACACACACTACATCCTGATTATAGTTTCCCCTCCCTCTACTCCTCCCAGTACTTCACCTCCTCCCCTCCCCTCCAGATCCACTCCGTTTCTGTCTCTCATTAGAAAAGGCAGGCTTCTAAGGGATAACAACCAAACACAACAAAGTAAAATATAATTAGGTGAAGGAAAAACTATCATACTGAAGTTGGACATGGCAACCCAGCAGGAGGCCAGGAGTTCCAAGAGCAGGCACAAGAGTCAGAGACCCACATGTTCTCACAGTCAGCAGTCCCATAAAAATACTAAGCTAATAGCTGTAGTATACACACAGAGGACCTGGTGTGTGGTGGTATATTGTTTGTAATCTAGGAAATAAAGCTTGCCTGAAAATGAAAGGACAGAGCTAGCCACAGAGTTAGCCATAGAAATCAGGCAATGGTGGCACACACCTTCAGTCCTAGCACTTGGGAGGCAGAGGCAGAGATCCATCTGGATTTCTGTGAGTTCAAGGCCACATTGATTAATCCAATTTAAAAGAAAAACAGAGCCAGGCAGTAGTGGCACACACCTTTAATTACAGCACTTGGGATCACACACCTTTAATCCTAGCACTGGGAGGGTTGAGACAGGAAGTGATATGGCTGGGCAGAGAAAGGAATATAAGGCAGGAGGAGACAGAAACTTGGTCTCCCTCAGGCTGAGGAATTGGTGAGGTAAGAGGTGGTGGCTGTGGTTTGCTCTGCTTCTCTGATCTTTCAGTTTTCACCCTTATATCTGGCTCTGGGTTTTCATTATAGGACCATTTAGGATTTATGCATCACTGGTATGAACCCATACAGGCCCTATGCTTGCTGCTTCAGTCTCTATGAGCTCATATGTGCCTTGCTTAGTTGATTCAGAGGGTCTTGTTCTGGTGTCCTTATCTCCTCTGGCTCTTACAGTCTTTTCACCTCTTCTTCCTTGGGATTTCCTGCACTCAGAGGCAAGGGATTTAATGGAGACCTCCAATTTTGTCTCTCTTTCCAACAAGTCACTCTGATGATGACTGGATAAGGCACTGATCTATGAGTATAGCAGAATATCATTAGGAATCATTGTATTGATTTTTTAAGACAAGTAGTGTTTGGTTTTAGCCTATACCCTAGGTCTCTGGCATATCTAGTCTCTGGTTCTAGGTTAGCCAAGCTGTATATGAGTTCCTTCTTATGAGCCTTAGGTCAAATCAGACATTGACTGGTTGCTTCCACAAGTTCTATGTGGCCATTGTTCTAGCGCATCTTGCAGGAAGGACAGATTGTAGGTAAAAGATTGTGTGACTGGGTTTGTGTCCACGTTTCTCTTTCATTAGCCTTCAAAGTACCTTCTCACACCAAAGAGCCTAGGAGGTAGGAGTGAAGACTCCATAGAGGCACCAGATAGACTTCTTGGTGTTCAAAGAGTTGTGTATATGTTGTCCCCAGCAATGAGGACCCACTGTCAGTTTCTACAGAAAATATTTTGTCTAAGCAACAGCCTGGGTTGTTTGGGAATTTCCATGAGACCCCTTGGCCAACAACCTAGTTGAATGTAATCTAGTCCTGCCCCTGAAAGCCTTGCCTGGCCATAAGAGATGGCCAGTTGAGACTCTATTCCCCCTGACTAGGAGTCTTCATTAGAATCACCTCCATAGACTCCAGGAAATTTCCATTGCACTAGGTTTCCACCCCCTAGCACCACCCCCTAGTTCCAGCTGTCTTCTCTCCACACTCTCTACTTCCCCCCCATCTCCCCTCAACCTGATCCCCCAGCTCCAGTCCACATCTGACCCAAGTTCATCTATAAAATATATTCTATTCCTCCCTGCCAAGGTAGATCCATGCATTACCCCCTAGAACCCTCCTCCTTATGTCTCTGGATTTATAGATTGTAGCTGGATTATCATTTACTTAATAATTGATATCCCCTTATAAGTGAATACATACCATCTTTATCTTTCTGTGTCTGGATTACCTCACTTAGGATGATTTTTTTTCTGCTCCCATCCATTTGCCTGCAAATTTCATGATGTCATTCTTTTTAAAAGCTGAGTAATAATACTCCATTGTGTGAACATACCACATTTTTTATGCATTTGTCATTTAAGGGACATCCAGGTTGTTTCCACTTTCTGGCTATTATGAATAAAGCCTCAATGAACATTGTTGAGCAAGTGTCCTTATGGTTAGGAAGGAGTCTCCTTTGCCCAAGAGTGGTATTGGGTCTTGAGGTAGATTGAATCCCATTTTTCTAAGTAACCACCATATTGATTTCCATAGTGGCTGTGCAAGTTTGCACTCCCACCAGCAATGTAGGAATATTTTCCCTTGTTCTACATTCTCACTAGCATGAGCCATCACTTTTTTATTGATCTTAGGCATTCTGACAGGTGTAAGATGGAATCTCAAAGTAGTTTTCATTTGCATTTCCCTGATGGTTAAGGGTGTTGAATACTTCTTTAAGTGTTTCTTGGTCATTTGACAATCCTCCATTGACAATTCACTGTTTATAGCTGTTCCTTATTTTAATCATTTGTGTTTTTTATATATAGTTTCTTTTTATAGTTTTTTATAGATTTTGGATATTATTATTATTATTCTATCTGATGTGGAGTTGGTAAAAACTTTTTCCATTCTGTAGGCTTTGTCTCCTTCAAATTACAGAAACTTTCATGTGATCTCACTTATTGTTAATCTCAGTGCCTGAACTATTGGTGTTTTGTTCAGAAAGTTGTCTCCT